TCCTTCGATTGTCTATTAAATAAATACCCAGAGGCGTAGCTGCTTCCTTTTTTTATCGAATATTTTTTACAAATTATTTATCCATTCGTTGAATAAATTTTTTCATTATACATATAAACCGATGTTCGATGTTACGTTAGTTTTTATTTATCAGGAACTATTAATGGTACAAATTGCAATGTTTTATAGATTTGTTTGTATTAACGATTTAATTAATAATCAATATAATAACCAATATTTAATATCAGATGTTCGATGTATTATTTTTACAAGAGATACACTGTTATTATATGTGGAATATTAAATAAATAATTTTCATTCATAGAATATATTTTGAACACATCATAAAATTACACGTCACGAAGAAAATGATTCATAACGTAGATCCAATTTTTGTATTCCCTTTATTATGTAACAATAAGATGACACACATATTGCTATTAGATAAAAAAAAAACGTTTTTGTTTTTAATTATTTCTAATTTATTGTAATATATATCGTAATAAAGATCACAGATAGAAAAGTATATTCATATTGTTTAAATATAAAAGCATAACGCGTATTCCGTAATACATGGCAGAGCTTGAACGATATTAAGAAAAATGATATTAAAAGATAAAACCGGTACGTAACACATATACGACCCACCGCGTCCTAATAAGGGTTTTAATTTATGTCGAGGAATATTATCCAATGTTTGCATTCCCTCGTTGAAGGGTCCACCATAAAGGTGCAACGCTCATCGGTTATAAGCAACGAAAGAATTTCGAAGTTCCTTTTTATGATCCCTTCATCGTCGTCAATTACTTTATATGTAGATTTGTATGCTCGGCGAGAGCGAGCTGGTATAATATCAAAAATGATTTTATTTCCCCCCCCTCCCCCTCCCCCTTTCTTCTTCTTCTTCTTATTATTATGACATATATTTTTCTTTTCTTTCCCTCTTTTTTATTTTTTATTATTTCCTTTTCAAATATCGTACGTTTTAATTGCATTGCAAGGGACTCGTCGAAGAAAATGGATTCCTCGTGGAAAATATATATCTCGAGAAAATTTTGTCTTCATATCGGAAATATGATAAGTAAAGAAGAATTATATTTTCACTTCTGTCATATATATATATTTTTCCCGATGCCCTTATAGGTATGGTTGTTGCATTAACCCGTCGTTAGGTTTATCTTCGTGTACTAAAGCTCGAGATTATATAGCCCCGCGTTAAATCGTTTAATGTCTATCGATTGAACGAAAGAAAAAGATACGAAAAAAAAAAAAGAAAAAAAAAAAAGAAGAAAAAAAAAACCTACGATAGATAAAAGATAGAAAATTAAATTCAAAAGAAAAAAATCATTGGAAAAGTATCGATCTATTGATCGATTGAATATTTAACACGTAAGTGTCGTAGCATGGTAATAACTCGTTCAATGATAAATCGTATTCGATGAATAAATAAATAAACATAGAAAGAGAAATGAATATTAAAGTCGGTCATCGATTAGTGAAAATTCACGATTCAATCGAATAATTAATTATATCAGATAATTATCTCGATTAATTAACGCAACAACAACAACAACCATCAAAAAAAAAGAAAAATACTAATCCGATCTTACCGAAAAAGGATCAGATTAAAACGATATACAAATATGGAAATTGAAATGTCGAATGATATTTGCTAATTGCTCGAAGGTACTACTCGGTTCGAGTTGTAATAATTGATTCGGAAATAGTAATCGTTTAGTATCATCATCCTTTTGCCGACACTTACAGACCCCGGATGCAAATGATTCTTAATGACGAGCTCGCGGTTAGATCATAAAATCGTTTGCTTGGCGATTCAGTCGTAAAGATTAGTCGACTATAAAGTTTTTTTTCTCTCTCTCTCTTTTTTTTTTTTCCTCGAAGAAGACAAGATTTCTTCTCTCTCTCTCTCTTTCTTTCTCTCTGTTTGTCTGTCTGTCTGTTTCTCTTTCTATCTTTCTCTTTCTCATATCTTTTATATCGTTGTCCTTCGAAAAATTACGAGCCGCTTCGCACCTAACTGATTAACCGAATACACCTTTGGACTCCACGTGTAAATGAAAAAGACGACGGATAAAGAGAAAGAGAGAAGAGAAGAGACGAGACGAGAAAAGAAGAAAAGAGGAAAGTTTTATTAGGCCTTCCGATTATTCGTGATCTTCGACGAGATTCTTCGACGAGATCCCATTTGCGAGATAATGGTCCACGGTTGTGCGCGAGTAATTTCAATTAATTCGCGACGATAATAATAAGTCGACATTTTGCACCGTGACCTCCTCCATTCGTCTTCTTTACTTCGTGATAGTTCATTGTTATCATAACGAACCGTTCAAATCCGAGTAATTTTATCGATATCGATAAAAAGTAGATTGGTGAGAATGCTTATTTCCTTCTTCTTCTTCTTCTTCTTATTTTTTCTTGTTTCTTTCTTTTTTCTTTTTTTATTCTCGTCGAAGAAATCTCGTGATCGTGTCAAATCATAGATCATCGTGACGAATTATTTCTACGAATTTATAATAAATTCTTTATTAGGATAATAAAAAAACATATTATAACGGATTAATTAATAACGAAAGTGTAGATGATGTTTTGTGTTGTCGAATATTCAAATAAAAATACAAATGTATGTCTATTTAAAGGAAAATAAAAAAACGCTGAATTGTAAAGATTAAGTTGCTGAAGAAGTCCCAATAAAGGGAAGAAACGTTCAACTTAATAATAATTAAGTTCTACTTCTTTTTTTTCGATGTCCAAATTCCCTTTGATACATTCTCATTAAGAATTTTATTTTTCGACGAGAGAAACAATTGATTAAATAAAAAACAACGTTTTGTTATATTTATTAGAAAAAAAATAAAAAGAAAATCATTCAACTTAAGATTTTTTTACTTTTATTCTATTATTCGTTTTGATGATAGTATAATATATTATTATTATTTTGTTTGTGTCATTTATACGATTTCATTTAGAAATACATTGATATTTAATATTCCTTCATTTCTTTGTATTGCATTCGACAGGCGTGAGTTTGCAAAGCTGTACAGCTGGACCATTTGCAAGCGGAAATGGCGGTGGTGCATCTAGACAACGTTTGTTGGAACTCTCCCATGGATTGGGTGCACTTAGACATTACAACGATTTAGCCAATCACGTGTTATCTTTAAACCAACAAGGTGCCGTCGTTACGAAACTATTAGGTGAGTATATTACGATTCAATTATATTTAATCTTTCGATGAGAAAATTTTTTCGTGGGCGTGGGGGCAGAGGGGGCAGGGTGTAAATTTTGTGTATCATACGAAATGAAAGAAAAAAAAAAAGAAATAATAGTTTATCAATTATAATGTTCGTCGATTGATTATTATTATTATTATTACAATTATTATTAATACGTTTTTCATCATCGTTTAATCGAATTTAAGTATATCTTCCATGGTGTACACGTTCAAGGCTGGTAAATCCGATATAAACTCGGTGAAACTGGATAGGCAAGAAACTGGACAGGATTGTTGCTCGATTCTCAACGTTCCGGCGACGTTAAACGCTTCATTTCTAAATGCCGATCTAATCGAACATCATTGTGAGACTCGTTGAAAGTTTTGTAGGAAGTATTTTATTATAAATTCGTAATACGAACGAAAATATATAATACTACTTGTTTTATTTTTTCTTCTTCTTGTTATTATTGTTGTCGTTTTATAAATTAGGAATTCAACGTTTCACTTTATAGATTTTACTTTTCGTTATTATTTCTTTTTTTTTGTTAAATTTTAATCTTAGTTTCCTCGCATCTGCAGCAATATTGTATTTATAGTTGGAAGTATGATTGTAATAACAATAACTCGTAAAACGTTTCTACCGTGAGTCCCTTATGTTCGTTTTCCGGAACGTTTCGTTGCCGTTTATACGACGTAAAACTACCCAAAACAAAAAAAAAAAACAAAAAAAAAACAAAACGAAGATAGGTAGGTGGGGGGGGCAGGGGAGAGGGGAGAGGGAGAGGGAGGGGTTTATACCAGGGGAAAAAGTATTAACGGGGGTATTATTGATGGGTATGAACGTGTTACGACGACGGTGCAGCAATGCAACAGCATTTCGAACTCGTTAGCCGTCGAAGATTAGCCGGTAATGGTCGTTTCTTTTAAACCATCCTGTTCTCGATATAATATAATTTCCAAGCGAACGAACTTTCGAGAATTTTCGTCAACCATTTTACTAGGATTATTCAGTTCTTCTCATTAGAATTATATATATATATAGTTTATAGATTTATTTATAATAAAAGATAAGAATAATTTGTTGTTTGTAATTTTATTTCATTGATTTATTTTTTTTTAAATTTCTATCGATTAAAATATTTCAATGGGTGGTTAGTTTAATTTATCATTTACGTTAGTTTTGCGATCGTTTACATTTTAAATAATGATTATATCGATATAAGAACACATTATCAATACGATTAAATATAATATGAAAGATTATTCTATGAGAATACTAATCCAACGTGTCTATTAAATTTATTATTAACTCGCGTCATAGTTAAAGATTTCTTTTTTTTTTTTTTTTATAATAATGCATTCATTGACTCAACGTAATGATTCCGTATTTTCCTTTTTTTTTTTTTATTTTCCGAATTATTCGCGTATTGTTTTTTTTTTTTTTATAATACGATTAAACAACTATGGTAAGGAAGATCATTGCTTTTATATGAGAAAATTAGTCAGAGTATTTCTATCAGATTTATGATAAACTCGTCATCATAATATTTAACGAAACAATCTCATCTCTGGGGATTTAGGAAGGAAAGAAAGATAAAAAAACAATAAGAAAAAAAAAAAAAGAAACAAAAAAAAAAGACAAGTAGTCGAAGTAGTTTTGAATCCTACGCAAATACGGTGTCCCATAATTTTTCCTCTCGTTTAACAGAAAGAAAGAAAGAAAGAAAGAAGAGATAGAAGAGAAGCTGCTGTTAAGAGAACGATAAAGTAAGAGAATCAAGACTGGTAGCTTGTGGAAGAGAAGGAAGAGAGTATAAGGAACGCGGATAAATACACACAAACCCACAAACACACACACACATATATACTATCGATAGATGGGTGAGTGGTTGTTACAGGTGCGGTAAAATTCATGGAAAAGTTCGAGTAAGATCGTCAAGATTTAAAATGAAGAAAGTGGGAATTGAGATGAAGTAATAAAAATGAGAAAAAGAGAGAGAGTGAGAGAGAGAGAGAGAGA